TGTAACCAGTTTTAGTTATTGTTTATTGGAAGATAATAAGTTAATTGCAGCTATAGCTTACATGATCAACACTTTACTAACGTTGTTGGTGCCAGACAGGCCGGTCTGAGTATTTCACAATCTGCTCAGTGACTGGGATTTTCACGCACAACCATTTCTAGGGTTTACAAAGAATGGTGTGAAAAGGGAAAAACATCCAGTATGCAGCAGTCCTGTGGGTGAAAATGCCTTGTTGATGCTAGAGGTCAGAAGAGAATGGGCCGACTGAGTCAAGCTGATCGGTTGTAACAAATGGTTGTTTCAGTCAACGTTGCTCTTCGATGTATGCAGCAAAGCTTTTGTGAAGCCACAACACAAACAACCTTGAGGCGGATGGGCTACAACAGCAGAAGACCACACCGGGTACCACTCATCTTTGTTACAAATAGGAAAAAGAGGCTACAATTTGCAAGAGCTCACCAAAATTGGACAGTTAAAGACTAGAATAATGTTGCCCGGTCTTATGAATCTCGATTTCTGTTGAGATGGTAGAGCCAGAATTTGGCTTGAACAGAATGAGAACATGGATCCATCATGCCTTGTTACCACTGTGCAGGCTGGTGGTGGTGGTGTAATGGTGTGGGGTGTGTTTTCTTGGCACACTTTAGGCCCCTTAGTGCCAATTGGGCATCGTTTAAATGCCACTGCCTACCTGCGCATTGTTTCTGCTGACCATGTCCATCCCTTTATGGCCACCATCTACCCATCCTCTGATGGCTTCTTCCAGCAGGATAATGCACCATGTCACAAAGCTCAAATAATTTCAAATTGGTTTCTTGAACATGACAATGAGTTCACTGTACTAAAATGGCCTCCACAGTAAACAGACCTCAACCCAATAGAGCATCTTTGGGATGTGGTGGAACGGGAGCTTCGTGCCCTGGATGTGCATCCCACAAATCTCCATCAACTGCAAGATGCTATCCTATCAATATGGGCCAACATTTCTAAAGAATGCTTTCAGCACCTAGTTGAATCAATGCCACGTAGAATTAAGGCAGTTCAAACACAGTATTGGTATGGTGTTCCTAATAATCCTTTAGGTGAGTGTATATGTATACAATGTACTGCGTACAGTACACATGCATTTGTGGGTGTTTTTTGATGAATGGTTTAGTCTATGATTAGGGAAGGATAATATTAGCCATACTGAAATTATAGTTTTAGATCATATGTTAAAAACATACATGTTATGGATTGTAGCCTATTTAGGAACATAGTTAATTCACTCATTAACTATCTGTTGTTTCTTTTTATGATGTTAAAATTTTACCGAACATTGCTGCAGATATACTGTAGTCGTTGCTGTTACTGCATTCTATGTTTCTGTCCATAGCAGTCCATTTCCCTCCAAAATTAAACACAAAAACGTATTAATGTGTTTCTGTCACTCCCCAGAAAAAAATGCTATTATATATATTTAAAGTAAGCGTCAACATAATAGTCAATGTATCAGCCAGATGAACCCAAGAAAAGTATTCTGTGGTCTCGCTGGATGGATCCGATTGCTTGGGTCAGCCCCAGAAGTTAAGCAGCTTATGGGCTGGATGGTCTTTAGCCCTTCCTCGTGAAATAATGTGGTCATTTGTTAGAGTTTCTATGTTCTTTCTGCAGTCATATGATCTGCTTTAATGCAGTCTGAGAAACCATTCTCCAGATGCTTTTCTCTTCTCAGTTGTGTTTGCGGACATGACAAGACAAGATCAAGGCATTATGAAATCATAGGGCTGTTGAAACAGGAACAAGTTTTTCATTTTGAAGGCTGCGTCCTCCTGCCGTCGCATTTGTCGGCCGCATACGTCATAAAGAACAGCGCAGTAACTATTATAAAGTTGTCTTTTATTCTTAGTGAAGCATAAATTCTAGTATTTTTTTCATATCTTGGGAATGTAGTGAATGTAATGAATTTCACTGAAATGAAGCAGCCTCAATGATGAATGCGGCCGACAAAGTGACCTCCAGAGGACACAGTCTTCAAAATGAGACACAGCTTTATTCTTTTTATTTAAGCTTACACAAGACATCTTCTCACAAAGGAAGAATGTTCATTGATCTTGTGAGAAAATATAGTAATGTGCTGTTAAAGCTTTTAAAAACTTTTAACATTTTTAAGGCTTTTTTTTTTTTTGCAAAATTGAGGTTTTGTGAAACTTTGTAAATTAAGTGAGTGACCATATCACAATTCTGCAGTTAATGTCGACTTGTTCACATTTTGAGAGCATATGATGAGACTTTCAGGCTCTCATCACAAACGGTCTTGTGATTCCAATGTCACTGTAAATCTACATTAACAAGCATTGAAATATTTTACTGTCAGATAAAAAATAGAGCATGACAATTTTAAAGACTAAAGTGACAGAAAATGTTTGTCTCTAGTGTTAAATACCACCATGGGTTATGTAACACAACCTTTAACAGAATGATGTCTCTGAGTGGTAGTTCTAAGGCACTCGATTAACAGTGTAAAGAAACTTGAGTTGACAAATGTGAGTGGAAATAAAAGCTATTGTGTAGAAGCATTCAAGTGTAAGTAGGTGCTTTTTCTTCATTTAATCTCCAGGATTTCAGCATTTATGGACTCTCATGACCAATAACAAATAAAATTGATTTAAGAAGCATAATGACTGTTTTAAGACAGAAATGCAGCTGTTTCACACTTCTTTTTTTAGTTTCCTGTTATTAAATCAGCACTGTTGCATAAATAAAAACACTCGCCTTTTAACGAAATGCTTGGAAAAAGAATGGCCTCTTGATGTACTTTGTCGACTAATGGTTTCATTTGTGCTTCGCTTGAATCAGCATGAATGTTAATGACAACAATTGATGAAAATATCAATTGTGTGCAAATAAAGTAACCCACGTTTGGTTTTCAATCACAGAAAATGGGTCAAATTCAACAATTTGAACATGGAGCTGCATTGTGATCGCCATATCTATGGGAATGAAATATCTATGGCCTTGAAAAGGAAGATTTCAAAAGCAAAATATATTAAGAATGCTAATCTAAAAGGATATTAAGAAATATTGAATGCTTTTAGTACAAGCATGCAAACTTTGGAAAAGGAATATTTATGGTACTCATCAGGTATGTTCTATGCATGTTCTATGTTGATAGTAGCCTGAGTTCATCATACTCATATTCTAGTGAGAATATGAGTCTGAATCTGCTCCGTAGGGTTTTGATTATGAGGCGTGTCTTAACCGCACCAGGAAAAAAAAAAAAACCTCTGTCGGTAAACCTACAACCAATCAGAGTAACGCAGTAACTCAACAACTTTGCAACTTCGCAGTTTTCAACTACAGAACTTACTTATTTTAGAAGTAAAATAACGAGTGTTGCTTCTTTTACTTACTCCTCCATGTGTGCGACCAAAGGTGAAACCACAACGACCACAGGCTTTTCATTATGTCCCATCTTCTTAGCGACCATCGGAGCCAGCTGATAAGTTGCACTTTTGCCGAATCAAGTTGGAAGGACTGCAAAGATATCTTTCCGATCGACAAGTGCCTTGATTGCAGTTCTCGGTTTGTCTATTAAAATTAATGCGCTGTCGATTTATTTCACAACAGACGTGACAGTGAATCTATACATATCAATTCTCCAGCTGCAGTCATCTTTGAGGGAAACCAGTTAAGCGATATTTGATAACGTGATGATTACGTCCTTGCAGATCATCTGTCCATCATCGTATAAAGCCCGCCCTGGCAATTTGATTGGCCCGAACGTTTCTTGTCTGATCATAATTACTCCTCAATGGATCGAGTCCAGACCGAACTTCCCGACCAAAAAATGTTGTGGGTGGAGTTCGGGCTGGCATCCAGGCTATGTTGATAGAAAAAAAGAAGAAATAACTTCTTCAGATATTTCTCTTTAAAAGAAAAAAGTATTAGCTGTAATACAAAGTGACCCACATTTGATTTTTTTTTTGACCACTGAAATGTACAATTTTACCAATTTACTTGTGGAGATCTCCATATCTCTGGGATTGAACCATAGAGGGCCTTTAAAATGAAGATGCCAAAAGGAAAGTTTGTTAAGAACCAGAATTTAAACACTTTAAACACAAAAATACTTTTTGAGTTACAGGCATGCAAACATGAGACAAAAAAAACACAAGTGCCTTATGTAATTTTTGAACTGTCACTATTGGCATGTAATGCAACAGATTTTATTAATAGACCTATCAATCTGTGTGTAAAATAAAATGATGCTGCCATCTTTCTAAATTCATTTTTACACCTTCTAATTTGTTTCCAAATCTCAGGTGAAATTTCTCATTTTTACCCCCCTCTACAAAATAGTGGATTACTCATTGAATATACTGTGATATTTAATGTTTTGTTTTTATCACGATTTCTGTTTATCTTTGTACAGAAATAAAAAAATTTAAAAATAAAATCGAGCAGGGGAAGTTTACAAAATGTAGTTGATTTGACATGGAGTGACCATGCCATAGTCATAACCAAGGCTGCATATTTATCTGATCAAAAATTCAGTAAAAATAGTAATGTTGTGAAATATTATTTGCAGTTTAAAATAACAGTTTGTCTATCTACTGTAATATATTATGAAATGAAACTTATTCCTGTGATGAACATTGAAATCTTAGCATGCTCTTTCGGAAATCATTATTATATGCTGATTTGCTGCTCGAGAAATATTTCTGATTATTATCAATGTTGAAAAGAGTTGTTGCTTCAAATTTTTGGGGAAGCTGTGATGCATTTTTTTTTCAAGATTCTTTGATGAATAGGAAGTTCAAAAGAACACCATTTTTCCAATAGAAACTTTTGTAACATTATAAATGTCTTACTGTCACTTGTAATCAATTGAATGCTCCTTGCTGACTAAAAGTATTAATTTCTTCCAAAACAAATCTTACTGACCCCAAACCTCTGAATGACATTAATTGTATATCAATGATACTGTAATAACACTGCTCTGTGTTTGTCCATCGCAGGTCCTCACTCTGCTCTCAGTATGTCCGATGGGGACTATGATTACCTCATCAAGTTCCTCGCACTGGGGGACTCTGGGGTGGGTAAGACCAGCTTTCTATATCAGTACACAGACAGCAAATTCAACTCCAAATTCATCACCACAGTGGGAATAGACTTCAGAGAAAAACGTGTGGTACGTATTTTTATCACTGGAACTAAAATGAATATTGACATTTTCATAGTTGTATTGATGTTTATTATGTATTGATTATGTTGAATTTTTAACTTATTTAGCTTTGAGTATTCGGCTATGTATATAGTTCTATGCAAATGAGATGCCTTCATCAGGTCTCATAGGTTTAGATGTTTCCTGCTTGATTTGTAATGGAGGTTTAGTGTTTTGAAGTCCCAGTCGAGGTTAACTGGACTGTGAAATCCCATCGTCCTGTACAGCTCCGCACATGGAATCTTGCCCAGAGGTTTAAAAACCGCCATTAATGTATAAATCGCTGCCTCAGGTGCAGGGGGATATACACAGGTTCGTCTGAACACGGTCATGAATACTATATGCAGAAAAAACACATGGAAAACACTGCACGCCTGCGAAAGCAAATAGACGTTCTCGGAGTAATTATGCTTTTCCTGAATGCAATACGATGCCTAAGGCTGCTTAATTTGTTGGGTACACGCAACGACAAGAGGCAGTTCACATAATTCACATGATACACATGTCAGAGATGGATGGATGGATGGATGGATACACAGTATATACAGGATACAAGAATATGCACATTAATAATATTTATTATGTAATATAATATGTGCAATCAATGAACTAATTGTTGTAGTAAAATTAACTCCTCTGCAAGTGGTTTATTCTCTTAAAAGTCTTTATTTTATGATAATGACTAATCTACATTATCCCACCTATTGATGACCACATGACTTCTTATCCAGTAAAATACATGGGCATAAATTTTGATTAAAGTAGAAGCTATTTTGTTGGATAAAAAGATGGGAAGGAAGAGTGTGGCGTGATATGCAAGATGGCAAGACTTGAATCTAGCAGCTGTAAATCAGAATCAAGCATTTTACAGAGACATGCAACAAAGAGTGCATTAGTGGCCGCCCAATTTTTTAATGGCCTCGGATTTTTCCTATATATTTTTCCCATAGGGATTTTTAAAGTTACAAGCCATGATTTAGGAGCTGAAAAAAACAAACGTACAAGACTATATTACAGCTCTAGTGAGGGAAAGAACTACAATTCCATGCCATTGTGAATGAATTCAAAACAATGTAGAAATATAAAACTACTGGTTTAAAGATATAAACTCAGCCACAAAAGAATCACACAGTTGGATCCTGTAACATTCTACTCTGAGCTGTTCGCACGTCCCTGGGTTAATGCCTTTCTGTGGTACACAGTAAATGCCTAAACGAATCTGCAGCAGTCAGGTGGTACAAGTCAGCGCTTGTACTTTTATTATATTTGTAATGTTATGTGCTTTGAGACCTGAGGTAATGAGGTCTCTCGTGTCGTGATACTTTGCAGAGTGCTTTTTGAAGGAGGCGTGGCTTTGGAGATGCTCTGAAGGGACGGTGGGATCTTGCTATTGCTAGCCTCTCCAAAATTGCCTAAATTAGCTTTAAAGAGACCTTTCTACTGACTCTGAAAAACACCAGGAGAAAGATGCCCAGGGCCCCAAAGAATATTACAGTCCTGCTGCAGGAGGCATGATGATAAACCGCAATGTTTGTAATGCTGTAAGGAGACAGTGCAACAGGAAAACACATACTGACTACTAATTTTGATATTGACCTCACTTTCATCAGGGACACTTTATCATTTCAATTCTGTTCGTCAGATGTCTGTGAAATTTGTTCAGTTTATCTTTCAGTTGTTGGATCTTTTTCTGTTCATACAAATATTTACCTTTGTAGTGTATATTATCACACGCTCAAACTACAAAATATAGGCAATCACGTCATGTCTTTCCACTGAATTCCACTAAAAAATACAATTATTTAAACAATCATTTTTAACAAAGTATTATTTTAAAATATTTAAAATATTAGTTTAAAGTAGTGCTTAAGATTAAATTAATTTGAATTAATAAATAATAGCATTTATTTAAATTAATTATCGCAAAAGAGTGCATCTGTTCAGCGTCTGTCTCTCTATTAACATAATAGCATTGTAAGCCCTTTTTAGCGATTTAGTAGCGAAACAATTTTATTAAGAAGTCGTGGGGCAGTGTTGATGAGTTTCTGTGCTTCTGAATGTTCGTGCGAGGCGCAATGTCCGCTTTGTATGCGAATGACATTATATGTTTGCTTCAACAGTGATTAAACTGGTTTTATATATATATATATATTATTTTGAAAAGCTTAAACAAAAGCGTATACCATTGATCTAAAGGAATAGTTCACCACAAAAGGAAAATTGTCATTAATTACTCACCCTCAAGTTGTTCCAAACCTGTATGAGTTTTTTTTTTCTTCTTCTTCTTCTGTTGAACACACAAAAAGATATTTTGAAAAATGTTGGCCTGGTTACCAACATTCTTCAAAATATATTTTTGTTTTCAACTGAAGAAAAAAAATCATACTGGTTTGGAACATGATGAAAAAAGTTTCAAATTGTGGGTGAATTATTCCTTTAACAATCTCGTAGCTTACAGTAGGTTTGCCTTTATTGATTTATAAATTACTTTGAAAAATCAGAAAATGAATGGGATTTTTACATCCAGACTGTTGCACTCAAAACTGAAACGGGATGGCTGGTATAGATACGGAAATATTAATTCAGTAGAGAAGATTGTGTGTGTGTGTGTTTTAGGAGAAAGATCCTCCCACCTTCATTTGGCATAATAGAGCAGGGATCCCTCCTTAAGAACAAACACTTCAGCACTTAAGACATTAAACAAATGCTGATTGTTTAGGGCCACACTTCCAGTACTGAATCATCAAGTATGCATTTCATGGTTGTGTTTGACTAAGTCAAAAGTAAATTCAAGTTTCTTGGAACTTTATAACACAAAAACACACACACAGCAACCACATAGTAACATCCGAGCAACCACCACAACACTGTAGCTTTGTGGTAGCACATTTTCTATGAGGCAAACCTCACATTTTCTACAAACAATTTAGTTTCTTTGTCGAAGTGTCAAGGATATTCAAGCATCATGCACTAATATAGTTTTTTACGGGTCTCTAAATAAGGTGTATAAATCCAACGGTCCTGATGGCACAGCCGGGAGAGGTCAGAGGATCCACATTCAGCTGTGGGATACAGCCGGACAGGAGAGGTGAGATGCAGATCAATACTTGTGCTTTACTTCCTAACATGAGCCGCGTTTCCACCGCAGGAACTTTCCCCAGGAACTAGGAACTTTGGGGTGGTACTCAGTGTGTTTACACCACAGGAACCAGGGTCTAAATGAAGTTCCCCCCCCCAGAAAGTCCCTGCTGGCGAGGTAGTACTTTTTCAGAGTTCGGGAACTTTCGGGGTGGGACGCTGAACATGCTGATTGGTTCTTACACTTGTTCTTTCTGCCCGATGGCGCGATCATAGTCCGCTGATAACAAACATCTACTTTTGGTTTTATATCTAGCATTACGAGCTTTCTGAATATGCTTTGGGTGCTCGTCTCTTTTCTGCCGTTTTTGTTAATTACCTCGCTAGTAAACCAATCGCACACAAAAGCAGCACAGCTTGAATCTCCTCCATACAAACTCAAAACAAACACGCAGACTGGGAGGAGCAGTCGCACGCAGTTCAACGTCACTACATAATCTTCCCGGACTGGACCGGTACTTTAGTCCGTGGTGTAAATGCAGTAAGGAAGCAGTCTGGGGCAAAAAAAAGTTCCCATGAAAAAAGTTCCTGGGACAAATAGTTCCTGGGAATTGCGGTGGAAACGCGGCTATGCACTCAATGAAAGAAATTGAAATGGGTTTTCACTGTTGTGCGACCTGTGTCTTCTCCTCTAAATGCTCATGCAGATTTCGGAGTTTGACCACTGCGTTCTTCAGGGATGCCATGGGTTTCCTGTTGCTCTTTGACCTCACGAGCGAGCAGAGCTTCCTTAATGTGCGGAACTGGATGAGTATGTCCTTCATACCTTACTGAGTCCAGACTCACTGAAATCAACACATGAGATTCATACATATACATACTGCAGACTTTATTTTGTTTTAAAGGGCACCTATTATGCCCCTTTTTACAAGATGTAATATTGGTCTCGGGTGTCCCCAGAATGTATTTGTGAAGTTTCAGCTCAAAATACCCCACAGTTAATTTATTAAATGAAAATGTCATTTTGGGCCCTGATTAAAAATGAGCTGTTTCGTGTGTTTACCACCTTAAATGCAAATGAGCTGCATATCCCCGCCCTGCCTTTGGATGAGGGCATAACTTGATACCTATGGCAGTCGGTACTGAGAGAGTGAGAGAAACCGCTGTTTTGAATGTCATTCAGAGTACGTTTGAATCGGAATATATAAATAGTACGAAGAGACTCCGGCAAAATAAACACAAATGAGAATGGACCTGTACGTCTCGGTATGGTTATTTGATACATTTATGTACTTAGTGAGTTGTAATCGCGTCCCTTTTGCAATTATGGATGTGGAACACACACACACACACAGACACACAAACACTAATGGTGGCGCATTTTTTTGATACTACATACACATTCTGTGATAAAGTTTGCTACGTACAAGCGAAATTACATTTATTCGAGGGACCTGTAGCGTCATGTTTAGCTTGTCATACAGGTGCTTCTTTGGCAAATGTGAGGAGATGGCTAACTTGCAGAACAAGAATATATATGCAGTTTTTAATACAATATCTTTAAAAATATATATATTTATAAACGTGTGGTTACACACTATACAAACAAGGTTTAAATTATATAGCCTACACAGACACCCTACGACGACAACAACTTTAGACGCTTTTGTTGTTGAATTGGCTTCCATAGACATCGACTGAAAAGACTATTTGCTCAAAATTCATAAAATACACTTACTGTTACTGGAGGTGACGGTGGTTTGCAAACAGTAGACGACGATCCACACTTGAGCATTAACTTTTAAGCCACAACAACAGGGGGGGTTTACCACATTTAAAGTGTAGCTACATACATTTTCCTCATAATTTATTTTATTTACCAAATTATTCACAACAAATTCACAAATTATCCTCCCAAAAATAATTTTTCTTTTTATCTAGCAGCTTAGAATAGTTGCCCATTTAATTGTTAGAATAATAAATGGTATTTAAAATAACAATTTAATACAATTTGATGAACTGTAACAAGCAGCTTCGAGTGGTCGCACATTTTCTTATAATAATAAAAATATAAATATTTTTTGTGTACAATTTTGTAAAAAAAAAAAATTAACTAGCAGCTTATTGGTCATATTTTTATAATAATGATAATAATAATTATTATTATTAGTAGTAGTAGTAGATGGGCCGCTGCTAGTTATTATCATTATGATTATAATCTTTCAAATACTTATTGCTATTGAACTTCTGTGATGTCTTGTGCAGGTCAGCTGCAGACGCATGCGTACTGCGAGAATCCTGACATTGTCTTGTGTGGAAACAAATCCGACCTGGGGGACCAGCGTGCAGTGAAAGCGGACAATGCACGAGAACTGGCCGAAAAATATGGGTGAGAAGCCACATTCACCTGATCCATCAGACCTGAAGGAACTTGCCCTGTATCTGTAACACATGACCTCGTCTGCTTCAAAAAGCAATCGTTTTTTATTGTAGACTTTAGGACAGAAATGCTTCACAGTTCGCCTGTGGAATGATCTGTTGATCAAAAGTATTTAGGTTTCGTAGTAATCAGATTCAGTGGTGCCGGATCAAGATATGAAGCAGAGGGCTGCTGGCAAGTTAGTTTCAAGGTCATCACATCTCATACTAATTTGATTGTGGTGATAAAATGATAGGAAATGCTAGGGAAGTTGTATGGGTTTGCCTGATTAAGGCGGATTCCCAGGCGTGCAGTAACGTGCAGACATGTGAAATGATTTGCTGGTGTGTGCGAGTCGTATCGTAATGTAGGTCTTCATACTGTACGTGTTCACAGGGTGCGGGCCTCTCCAAGGATGTTTGTTTTAAGGGCCTTGTCTGTACCGTGTTTGCCTAAGATGAGGGCATCTCTCGTTAAATATGACACTTTAAGATGGCGGTATACCGAAAAGCTAATATTTACTGTGTTTAATGTGAGGAGTCTTCAGTTTAGAAAAGCTTGGTATTACTTCAGAAGTCTTTTATGGCATCTAAGAATGTTTTGGCCTCAAGAACAGATTTTAGGTGTCTGGAAAAGTAGATTTTCTTAGCTCTTAAATATGTTCAGTACAATTTTATATGAAGTTACATTGAAACCTTAAGAGTCACTTGTTAAACTTGTCATCCTTCTGAAATATTTCGATGTACTGACTTTGAGTTAGCCTGTTATGTAAAAAAAAGGTTTCTATATATCTGTTGTCTACACTGCACATTTAGATATATTTACTGTGATAGAATTAGATATTTACTTAGTCAATAATATTGACAATGTGTTGTGTGCAGTGAGTTTGCAGTGACTCATCTGTTAAATGTTATCATAACATTATAACATTTAATGTTATAAATGTAAGTGTCCATCGAGTGTGTTGACTGATACTGGCATCTAAACTCCTCCCAGGCTTGTTTTTGAACAAACAATAGAGACATTTGAATCTATCATTGCTGGGGTTCTCAATCTTTTTTGCTCTATAGCCCTGTTCGGGACGCTAATTGTTTCTCATGTGCGTAGCACCTCACTAATAACTGCATTCGAATGTGTAGGAGCGAGTTTTGTAATCCGGCAAACACGCTGCTCACGTGGTTAGTCGTATGATTGTCTGCTGTAAATAAAGTCATATGCTTGGAATAATACAAATAAATTCATATTTAATTTAATAATAGGTAAACAATGTTCTATTTATTATTTAAATCTAATTTAATTGTATATCCTTGCATTTTATCCCAAAAGGATGTCATTTTAAAAATATGGAAATTAGCGGAAACAAGTTAATGCAGCCTCTTTTTTTACTTGAGGTAAAAACAAGGCTGCTTGATTTGTGTTTTTAATGTTGTGTATAATAGCCTACACTTTTTTAAATTGTATCATATATTGCTGCCACAATGACATGTAGATTGTGATATGTGTATTGAATGAACTTGATCAATGAAAGCAACTACTGTGAAAATTACTATTTTATCCCATATCTGTTCTCTTTCATAGGTTCACTCAACGCTGCGGGTAGCGCAGTGGGATATTCTCTGAATGTGCCGATTGTCTGAAGCCCAATAGAATCACGCCAATTCATTGGCTGATGGCGCTCGCGCAATCTGGCCCCGCCCCGACGCAATTACGTCGCATAATCATATACGCGCGTGCGCCATCTTCCCCTCAGATTTCTCTGCCTTCACGAAGCGATCACATCGCCCTTCGTCTCGGTTTTTCTAAGCCTATTTCGGATTATTCGATTCTTGCACTTCAGCGACTGCACAAGTGGAACTCTGTTCTCCTTCCAGTGAAGCTGCAATGGAGTATCGACGTTGCTCTCCGCCATGTGCTCGCTTCATCGCAAGCGACGACCCTCACAGTAAGTGCATCAGGTGTTTGGGTTTCTCACATGCGCGCGAGGCCGTTTTGGGTTTTTCCAAATGTAAATTTTGCGATAATTTACTTCTAAAAACTCTCCGCTCTCGGCTTGCGGTTTTTGAGAAGGATTCTAAATTCGTTTCCCCCCGTCGCGCTCCCGAGGCTTCTCGAGGATCCGCGGCCTGGGGTTCGGATGTTGAGCTCGAGGATGTGGAGTTTGAGCAGACGGGCCCCGCTCTTTCTCTTCCTCCATCTCCCGAGCTCGCTCACTCGCCGGTCGAGTTCGCTCATGATTATTTGTGTCCCAGCCCGGGAGCACGCGATTCTGTTTCTTTCGGGCTGGAGGACGTCATCTTTACCGCGGCTTCCGACTCCGAGGATTTCGGGCCTGCTCTCGTCGATGACGTTATCCCGCCTAGCGGCCAGGAAACGCGGCCTACCGCGGCCTACTCTGAGCTCGTGGATGTGCTTTCGCGCGCCACGGAGAAACTCTCGATCGACTGGCCTGACGAGCCTCGCGAATCGCAGTCCTCCAAACTCGACGAGAGGTTTTTCAGTGGCCCTAATTCTAGGCCCCAACGGAGAAAATTGCCATTTTTCAACGATCTGCATCGGGAGATTTCCAGATCCTGGAAGCAGCCTTTTTCTTCGCGTCTCACTAATGCGTCAGCTGCTGATTTCACCAACCTCGTGGGTTCTGTGGAACAGGGCTACTCTGCCATTCCGGCTATCGAGGATACTTTGGCCAGCCATCTTGCTCCATCGTCGGCGCCATCTTGGAGGGCACGTCCTCTCCTTCCATCGAAGGCATGTAGAACCTCTTCCTCTCTCATCGGGAAATCCTACATAGCGGCTGGTCAGGCGGGCATGACCCTTCACACAATGGCCATCCTTCAGGCCTACCAGGCCGATATCCTTAAAGAAATGGATGAGGGTAGTGGTGTCACTCCTGAGGCTGTGAAGGAGCTGCGTAAGGCCACGGATTTGGCCTTGAGGGCCACCAAACATACCGCACGTGCGGTGGGCCGCTCTATGGCTGGCGCGGTTGCTGCGGAACGTCACTTATGGCTCAACCTCACTGAAATTCGCGATAGAGATAAGGTTTTCCTCCTCGACGCCCCTATCTCTCAGTCAGGTCTGTTTGGGGAGGCGGTCAATACGGTGGTCGAGAAATTCCGCTCCTCCAAGTCTCAATCCGCCGCTTTTAAGCAGTTCATGCCCAGGAGAGTTAGGGAATCCCCCGCTCCCTCCCCTGCCCAAAGACCTAGAGAACGCTTTTCTCAGGGAGCGGAGTCCTCTTTCAGGAGGAGTGACCCAGCGCGTCCCCCACCTCCCACGGTTTGGGGAGCCAGCGGTCGCCCGTTCCCCCGTCAGCGACCTCATAAACGTGTGCAGCTGAAGCGATCCGACAAGCCGCCCGCTCCAGCTGCCTCGTCCCGCTCCTGACCCGTTGGTCGGGAAAAGGAGAGCTCCTCCACAGGCACGAGGTTGGGACAGACCGCGCAAGCGTTTCTGTCCACCTCCAACCAGCTCTCCTTTTCTTACCCTGTCTCCTTCGCCACCCTGGGTGTTTCGAAGAGCAGGCCATATTTCACCACTTCTACGCAGCCCGGTGCGAGAGGAAGGAGACACCCTGGGTTTTCTCTCCTCTCCCCCGACACTCTCTTTGACTGCCGGTCACGTCCTCAGAAACGTTCTTCCTTTTTCTCTGGAGCAGGCAGGCCCGGTCACCCAGACCTCAGCATTAGCTCCTCTCATCGCGTGTCAGGACGCCAAGAGCTCTCCTTGCAACTCGGCCAACCTTGCAACTCCACGACCTTCAGCACGACACCCTCACTCAGGTATGTCATATGCATTGCAACACCCCTCTTCCTCTTTCACATTTCTTTCCAGAATGGGAGCGGTTACAAGGGGTATCGCCGTGGATTCTTCGCACAGTTCGGTTCGGCTACACTCTCCAGTTTTGCCGCAACCCCCCTCGGTTCAACGGGATTTTTCCTACTGTAGTCAACAGCGCCACTCAGGCTTCTGTGCTACAGCGGGAAATTTCTTCCCTCCTTCTCAAAGGAGCTATAGAGGAGGTTCCTGCGGAGGAAACCGAACAAGGCTTCTACAGCCGTTATTTCCTGGTGCCGAAGAAAGGCGGCGGCTTGCGTCCCATCCTAGACCTCCGCAGACTAAATTTCGCCCTTTTCAGGGGGAAATTCAAGATGTTGACGTTGAAAGCCATCATCTCTCAGATTCGACCAGGAGATTGGTTCGTGACAATAGACCTCAAGGATGCCTATTTTCACATCCAGGTCGTGCGGCGTCACAGAAAGTTCCTCAGGTTCGCCTTTGGAGGGAGGGCATTCCAGTACAAGGTCCTTCCCTTTGGCCTTGCCCTGGCACCGAGAACGTTCACGAAATGCGTGGATGCAGCACTGGCCCCCTTGCGGCTCCAGGGCATCTGCATTCTCAATTATCTGGACGACTGGCTCATTCTAGCCCAGTCCAGGGAGTTGGTTACCCACCACAGGGACACTGTTCTCCACCATATTCAGTCTCTCGGCCTGAGGTTGAACGTGGAGAAGAGTGTTCTTACTCCAGCTCAGCACACAGTCTTCCTGGGTGTGCACATGGATTCCGTTCGTATGCAGGCCCGTTTGGCTCCTGCACGGATTTGCAGTTTGATGACATGTTTGGCCCGTTTTTCGCTTGGCCATCATGTTTCTGTGGGCACTTGCCGCAGGCTTCTGGGCTTAATGGCCGCAGCCTCCCCTGTGCTACCCCTGGGTCTGCTCCACATGAGACCCTTCCTGTGGTGGATGAAGCTCTCAGGCATCCGGCCCACCGGGTCAGCCTTTCGCCTGTTGAGGGTGTCGGGCAGTTGCTCTCGCGCCCTGTCGATTTGGCGGGACCATCTCTTTCTTCAGAAAGGGGTCAGCATGGGAACGGTATTCCGTCGCCAGATGCTTACGACGGATGCCTCTCTAACCGGTTGGGGAGCAGTTTTCGAGGGCAGGCCAGCATGTGGGGTCTGGACGGGCGAGACCCTCGCTTGGCACATAAACTGCTTAGAACTGAGAGCCGTCTTCCTGGCTTTGCGTCATTTCCTCCCTTTTCTAGAGGGTCACCATGTCATTGTCAGGACGGACAACATGGCGGTAGTTTCCCATGTGAACCGGCAAGGAGGTTCTCGATCTCGCACCCTGGACAGGCATGCGCGTCATCTTCTATTATGGTCTCAGAGCAGGTTCCTTTCTCTGAGAGCGGTCCATGTCCCAGGGGTTCTGAACCTCGCAGCGGATTTTCTATCGAGGCAGAAACTCCAGTCGGGGGATTGGATGTTGAACCGTCAGACAGTTTCCCTGATCTGGGAGGTGTTCGGAAAAGCGGAGGTGGACCTCTTTGCCTCGCAGGAGTCATCCCAATGCCCGCTCTGGTTCTCCCTGAATCCTCCAGCTCCGTTGGGGATAGATGCATTCGCCCACCCTTGGCCAATGCAGAAACTCTACGCCTTCCCTCCCATCAAACTGATCCAGGCGGTCCTGGCCAGAGTGAGGGAGAGCGGAGTCCGCCTCCTTCTAGTAGCCCCATTCTGGCCGTCTCAGCCATGGTTTTCGGAGTTAATTCCTCTGCTGGAATCGCCTCCCTGGAAGATTCCAATCAGAGAGGATCTGCTTTCCCAGCTTCAGGGCAGGATTTGGCATCCTCGCCCGGATATGTGGAAGCTGTACGTTTGGCCGATCAAGGGTCGTCGACTTTAGGCTTGGATCTCCCGACTGACGTTCAGGAGACCATCGCTAGTGCTAGAGCTCTTTCTACAAGGAGACTGTATTCTTCCAAATGGAAGGTTTTCGTGTCTTGGTGCTTGGCACGTGATAGGAACCCAGTTAACTGCCCTGTCGCTTCAGTGTTGGAGTTCCTGCAAGAGAGATTTTCCTCCGGGGCGGCGGCTACCACCCTCAGGGTCTATGTTGCAGCCATTGCGGCACATAGAGAGTCAGACGAGATTCCTTTGGGCAAATTGAGGTTAGTTTCGGCCTTCATGCGTGGGGTTAGGCGCCTGAAACCAGTTCGCTCCCCTAGGGTTCCCTCTTGGGATCTTTCTGTCGTCTTGGAGGGTTTAAAGGAGGCCCCCTTTGAACCCTTAGAGTCAGCTCCAGATCGGATTCTGACTCTTAAGGTGTCACTTTTGTTGGCTTTGTCTTCTTTAAAGCGGGTAGGGGACTTGCAGGCTCTTTCTGTTAGTGAGTCATGCTTAGACTTTGCTCCCGGGTTAGTCAAAGTTTCCTTGAGACCTAGGCCAGGCTATGTTCCTAAGGTTCTCTCCACAGCGTTCCGCTCTCAGGTTGTTAGCCTTAACGCTTTCCACCCTCCGCCTTTTTCCTCTGAGGAGGATAGGAAGCTTAATCTGCTCTGCCCAGTTCGGTCTTTGAAGTTTTATGTAGACCGCTCCAGCTGTTGGAGGAAATCTAACCAGCTTCTGGTTTGTTTTGGTGCTGGCCGCCATGGGCTTGCTGCATCGAAACAAAGGATTTCTCATTGGGTCACAGAGGCGATATCGATTGCCTACCAGGCGCGTGGTTTGCCTTCGCCTCTTGGCATTAGAGCGCATTCCACCAGGAGTGTGGCATCCTCTCAAGCTCTTTTCAGGGGAGCTCTATTAGAGGACATTTGTGTTGCGGCCGGATGGTCCTCTCCGCACACTTTTGTTCGTTTCTACAATTTGGATCTTGACATGACCCCGGGTTCCCAGATTCTTTCTGTTTGAACCGTCTGTAGTCTTTATCTTTCGATACCGTCATTACAGCGCTCTTTGCTTGGCGAGTTTGGCGAGCGCCATCAGCCAATGAATTGGCGTGATTCTATTGGGCTTCAGACAATCGGCACATTCAGAGAATATCCCACTGCGCTATCCGCAGCGTCTCGTTCCCTATTCAGAGAACATAGGTTACGTAAGTAACCAGAGACGTTTTTATGCTTTGAGAGCTATATCAGTAGGTTAGCAACATCCTAGTTTCAAACTCCATTGGAATCAGTTTAATTTTTCTTCTTGCAGTGTCCCGTACTTTGAGACAAGTGCTGCGAACGGGGAAAACGTGAGCCATGCTGTGGAGGTTCTGCTGGATTTGATCATGAAGCGCATGGAGAGATGTGTGGACAAATCCTGGATACCCGACGGAACGGTTCGCACCAACGGTCACAGCACCAGCGACCTGGCAGAACCGCGGGACACAGACCAGAGCAAGTGTGCCTGCTAATGTAATGATCCTCCCGGTGGGCCTCTGCTTCCAGATCTCTTTCACCAGTAGTAGTATATATTTCAGTTTAATTCAGTGGATGTAGAGGATTAAACCAGGGGTCGCCACATCCTCACTTAGTTTTTCTCAGAATGGACTAAAGCCACCTACATTATCATCAAGCTTTCGGCTGGTTACCAGTCTCCACGTTTTGAGAGCACTTTACACCAAATCCTTCATTCAAAACCCTTTATATATCAGACTAGATTTGTATCAAGGGCTTGATTTCTCTCACTGTGTGTGTTTCACTGTTATTGCACATGTATTGTTAAAGCAGTTGTTAGAAAATTAGGTCCCACTTTATATTAAGTGGCTTTAAGTACTATGTACTTACATTGAAATTAATAATTTGATACAATGGACTTATTGTGTACATACATGTTTTACATTGTACTTACATTTATAAAATTCCAGCATGTAATTCCAGCAATAATTAATTTATGTTACTACATTTGTAATTACACAGTTGACCCTCCCCTCACACCTTAACCTACCCTTAAACCGACCCATACCACCACACCTGTCCCTAACCTTACCCGTATCACACCTCAATAGCAGCAAAAGTGTTTTATAATACAACAGGAACACAATAATACCATGTACTTATTGTTCAATGTAAGTACATAGTACTTAAAGCCACTTAATATAAAGTGGGACCGAAAATTAGGTTTTTGTTGATTTCTAAATGAAAACCTCACCTCTCAAAATGATATAAATGCATTTAGAAAATATACATTACAAACAGTTATTGTCATTATCTCACCCCGTCATTTGAAACCCATTTGACTTCAAAAAAACAACAAGAGAAATGAGAAAAGCATATGAACTTAAAGGAACACTCCGACTTTTTGGGACTTAGGCTTATTCACCATATCCCCCAGAGTTGGATGAATCCATACATACCTTTTTCATCTCCGTGCGTGCTGTAACTCTGTCTGACGCACCCACCGCTAGCCTAGCTTAGCACAAAGACTGGATGTAAATGGTTGCAACTAGCATACTAATCCCAAATAAGTGACAAAATAATGCAAACATTTTCCTATTTACATGTTGTCATTTGTATAGTCACGTAGTGTACAAATAACTCGGTCATATGAGACACAGCCATCTTTTAACCGTATAAATATTGGCAACTATATTTTCAGAAGGCGAAGCACTGCTACTTGGGCAGAGTGATTACCGCAGCACCTGAGATGCACCGTGGTTAGGAGCAGAGAGTTCGTTTAGAGTTGGAGTAATAGAGTCAGCAATTACTAGAATGTAAAAGCATAGTTTACAATGGGTGTTAGTTGTATTGTAGCTGCAACAATAAACAGGGGAGATGGGGTAATACCATGATTTTTCATAGAATTTCAACCAAAAATGCATCCTGTCTAATAAATATCACAGAACATGAATAAAGAATTATTATTACAGAAATCAATATATTTTAAAAGCAATTTATTACAGATGAACCAAATGTATTCAACAGCATATAATACAGTAACGTTACATAATTGCATTACAATAGGCTAGAATAAGGGGAAAGTAATAGCACAAGACAAATGGTTGTTGCACAATGAACCCATAATAGCCTACCCGTTCTGGACAAGGTCAGTGTTTCTCCCAAAAAAAAAAAAATCAGATTCATTAGCGAGGTGAAGGCTACAGTCCTGAATTTACCTCTTTCTCCGCTCATTTGTTACTGGGACGATAGAACGCATTTGTGACAAAACAATACTAACATTATAAGGCCTGCTAATGTCGCGTCTTTTGCGTGCCCAAGTTTGTTATTTCAAATGTAGGCGCGCAGGATATGCGTGCTCATAATGGAAGCAACATGGTCGCGGTGCAACGCGTTTTTTTTGTGTGTTTTTTTTTCCAAGCACGTCCGCGCTGCATCGAGATTAAAAACATATAAACTGTTCAGGGATACATGGAGACCGGGAACAACTGCAATAGTAGTGACCACCCTATTTATAAATTCCTCTGTGAAATGTACTGAGCAAACATGGTCCTTGATGATCTCTTCAGGTGTGCTTGGATCTAACATTATCCAGAGCAAGTAACTCCATTGATTCATCTATGTAAACTATGCTATGCTTTGCTATACTATGCTTTTACTATCTAGTAATCCTCTGAACGAACTCTCTGCTCCTAACCACGGTGCGTCTCTCAGGTGGTGCGGTAATCACTCCGCCCAAGTAGTAGTGCTTCGCCTTCTGAGAATATAGTTCCAAATATTTATACGGTTAAAAGATGGCTGTGTCTCATATGACCTTGTTATTTGTATACTCTGTGACTATACAAATCACAACATGTAAATAGGAAAATATTTGCGTTATTTTGTCACTTATTTGGGATTAGTATGCTAGCTAGCGTAGCGATGGGTGCGTCAGACCGAGTTACAGCACGCACAGAGATGAAAAAGGTATGCATGGACTTATCTAACTCTGGGGGATATGGTGAATAAGCTAAAGTCCTTCTTTAGTGTTCCTTTAAAACTATGAGGGTGAAAACAGGAAATTGACAGAATTGTCATTAATTGGTGAACTGTTCCTTTAATAACTTGTGCTGGTTGTCCCCCTCTTTTGGACAGATGGTGAATTGCATGTCTTTCAAATTTGTAGAACACTTTTAAATGTGTTACTATGTTATCTCTAGTCTTGTAGATGTGTCACAAATAGAATAAGTATTTAGATGTTATCGTATTCATATTTAGATTAGTGGTTGATATGTTTTATATTTGTTTAGACATTCACCAGGTGTTGGGTTTTTTTTTTTTTTTTTTTCCTACTGGTTTGTGTAGCTTTACTGCCATTTCATTTAATCTTAGGATTTGATTTGAAATGTTGTTTAGATCAAATATCCAAATCTATTCTGTAAATTAGAGTTAAAGTTCATACTTCATTTTTTTTAAAGGGGTTGCAAAGTGCCTGAAGATTCTGCTAATCTCATCTCTTCAGTCCCTCAATTTCACAAAAGTAAAAAAAGAAATATGAGTGAATTTGTTGTTAATCTTCTGTTAATATTTTGGTTTAGTTTCCAGAATAATTTCCAAAGTGCTTTATTTTACTGCAGTGCCTGCCCTGTAACACTGAATCATTGCCAAACACTGTCTTTTGTGCCAAATACTGAAACTCTATTTGAGAAAATAAATATATTTTATTTATTATTATGATGTTGTCATATGCACCCTTTTGAAATGCATTACTCGTGAGCTGACTCATTGAAATGGCGGTAATCTACTGTACATATTTGAGTGATGAAATATGCAGCATAGACCCACAAATTACCCATGGTTTTGTTTTACACTTTTAACTTAAGACATTGGTTGCCTCACAAAGAATTTCTGTTTTTAGTTTGCCAATGTGCTTGCAATATTTATCCAACTGCAGCCTCCGTCAAGTAGAATAAATTAACAGAATGTTGTTGTTTTCCCCCCCCCCCTTTTTGCTTTGGGAACTTATGGAAAGGGCCACCAGAGGAAAATAGGGGTGGGTCATGTCTTTTTATTCTTTGTTGAGGGGAGGGTCATCCAACTTTTCTTAGTCTAGGGGGAGGGTCACCCAACTTTTCTATTCATGAAAAATGCAAAATTTCAAAGTGGCTTGTTTGGGTGCATATTTATGGTCTCGGTCCCCCATCGCTATCAGATGGGTCTGACCCAACAAAAATCCAGATTGGCACTGTCTGGCCCTGTCCCAAATGGCGCACTTCATGCAGACGTTCGGTCTCACGGACTTTCGGTCTCGTGGACTTAAATTGCGCGTGCTCGTCGAATTTATGAGTCCGTAGGCTGTCCCATTTAGTATTTTGACGCTCTGAAGTGTGCTCAGCAGCGCCCCCTTTATACCCTTGAAACGGTCTTCCGCAGGAATCCTTGTGAAATGCCAAATTAGAAAACGGATGGGATTTCGGTTACGGACTGTAAACATATGGCTGAGAAGAGAATATTTAAGTATCATTGTGGTTTTTATGACATAGGCGTACATTTTACCAGTTGTTAATTACAGATACAAACATTATCGACCAGTGGTTGGCATTATGATTCATTACATAAATAGAACCGAATGTCATGGCTTTACTGAGTCATATAAACGTAGTATGAATATTGAAACCTATACATTTTTCTTAAACTCATTTTCATTTTGTGGTAAAATTGAACATTTATGTATTATTATTATTATGTACAACTGTATTTATCATTTTACATAACCAAAACATCTATTCTAATGCCCTGGTGGCATACAATTATAGAACTGTAAAAGTGGACTATGTAGTTCATTCAGGCCCGTCGCCAAGGGGGGGCATTGGGGGGCAGTGCCCCCCCAAACGACTTACTGTGCCCACCTACGCATGAGCTTGACAATAGATGTTAATATGTATATGCTAATAATTATATCGAACAGAGCTTGGTCTTTCTGCATAACTTATCTCACAGTAACGGTAAGCTCTACAACGGTTAGAATGTATAATACATTATCTTCAGAAATGATTTAGAAATTCATTATTCAACGCATTATTACACAGAACGTAACTTGAAATATAATTATTTTCATAATTGACTGTTAAAACATCCCAAAACAGCACCCAAACCTTGCAAAGACCTACCTCATTAATTATTCACATTCAACAGCCAATGGCAAGTCTCCAGCAGCAGACCTTTCAATTTGTTATTTTTGTGTTAGTATTTTTACTTCTTCAAATTACAATATGCAGTTTGTGTTTAAGGATAAATAAATAATATAAACAATGCAATTTATTTAGTTAAGCATACAGTATTGTTTATACGTAATTCCTTTGCGCAGCTGCGCAGTGCATGCGATGCGAGAATCAAATTCTGGTGGTTTTGAACATAGTCTATGGTTTTGTACGCCTACAGCAAAGCTTATGCTAAGTGGTTTAAAGTTTCGTCGTTGACAAAGACGACTTTTGACCAACAACAACGTGCGTGGAGACGGCTCTGGAGCTAATTAGATGGTAGGAACAGACAGTATAAGAAAGGTAAGAATAGAGAATTTGTCTGCTACATTGCTAAATTTGTATTGCAGTATGTTATGCATTGCTTTTATTATTGCTGTATTGTTGGTGGAAACCAGGTGCTTTTGTGACTCATTTTTATGAAGTGTAGAGTCATAAATCAATTTGGTTTTGGCGTAGTTTTACTTAGTTTGGACTTTGGACTAATGATATTACGTTGATTGCGCCTTTTACAAGAAAGCCACTAGATGGCACTGTGTTGTGTATGTGACGAACTATGCAGATTAACAAAAAATATAGGCTACTAGGCTAGCAAGCTATATGTGGAAATGTTAAGAGAAAATAAACAGAGACGTTGAGATCATACAGTGAAGTATTTTATTTAAATAAAATGAATAAAACAAGACTATTGTGGTCTATTTTAGTTGAAGCCTAATATGGGTTGTTGTTTTGGTCTGTCTCAGATCATTAAAAAAAGTGTGCCCCCCTATGAAAATTAAATGCCCCCCCAATTGGTTTGTTCTGGCGACGGCCCTGGTTCACATGGACATAAGATTTGGGAAAATAAAATAAATCCAGTTTTCGATGCTAAAGACTGTAATTTTTTTTAAATAATATTTGTGATGTTTTTCTAATAAAGGGACTGATGAGATGACCTTTAAGTTCTTTCAGCTCAGTATGGAGAGGGATAAGGCTTTCACAGGCATGAGGAATGCATCTGAGCGCAAAAATATGATTTCTCTGCATGGAAAGACATCTTGTAAAAACAACAACAACAACAAAAACAACCAGACCTCCTTTCTGTTTCCGGCGTGAC